TCACTAGCCATGGGAGTCATTGGTATGATGCAGCTAGCTGCTGCATATCTGTACGCTCTCCTTGCTGCAGTGTGGAGTCTCTGTTCTGTTCTCTACTACAGATTTCTCACAATCAGTTCCCTGGGGACATGGTCCTTCTTTTGTCCTTCTGGTTAGGAAAATATCCTTCCTTTGTTTTTTGATATCTTACTGTGGCTAAGATCAGTCATCTTCTCCCTATTTAGCCATCTTAGATATTGAATAGTCTAAAATTTCACGTGCAAGTCACTGTTTTTTTTTTTTTTTTTTGAAAAAAAAAATGACATTGGGCTAAATACTGCCGTATGCTCTTAAAGATGCCCCTATAGTTATAGTCTGTACTCTTTAGGTGCAGTTCCTCATCCATCTGAAAATCATGTGAGAAAAAAAAAAGGTCATATATGAGCCACTTGTTTGGAGCATCTGTTTCATACTGTTGAACAGTGCGTCAACCTTATAAAGAGGAAGGAGAGGTGTAGTTGAAACTAAAAAAAAAAAAAATGGGAACAAGCAATACTTATTATTGTTTTTAGTTATTGTTCAATCTCATTTTCATATACAGTATGCCTACTTGATTATTTGATGATAGAGTATTTTTCTTATCTGACATTAGATTATACTCCATTCAAGAGAGCATCTCTGGGTGTATAGTTATTTGGTGCCCTATAATGAGGTAGACACTCTTAGGACCAAATAACATCATCAAAATGTTTCATTGTTTGCTAAAAAGAGAAATATTTAAGTTCCAAGGCAGAAATGACTTTATTCCAAACCCAGGATTCCTTCCCTTCAGATTTTACTTTTAGTATCTGCTATAATTTCCAGTAGTATACTGATCATCTCCAAACACATTGGATTTCACTGCTTATGAGATCTAAGTGGCAGAGCTTCTTATTCCCCTGCTTAAAGCAGCTGGAGACATTTATATGCTATTCTGTGTCCTTCTCAAAGTTTGTAGCCTTAGGATTTACATGATATATGCATCCAAATGATAGAATCATTGGATATATGTTGTCTCAAATAGCCCAAGGACCACTGATCTTGTATCTGATCATGTATCTATTTCTTCATTGATAGAAAATGCATACTAAAGCATTTTTCACATTGGAGAGAACAATCAAATATGCCTCCAGAACCAGAAAATTTCCAAGTACATCAGGACACTGAATTCTTATATTTATCTCCTATTCTTTGGCATGCATGTGTCTTACCAAGACTTTTAAGTATATGCTATAGCATCATGATAGTATCAGTATAGCACACTAGCATGATGTTCTATAGAATGTTCTGATGATGAGAATCCTGGCAAACTAAATAATGGCACAGAGCCAGCAGGTTACATAGCCTTAAACAGGACAGAAAAAGTACACTGCTCTCTACTAGATAAATGTGAACTTTCATTTTGTCTCCTTATTGGGATAGTAAAAAAAAAAAAATTCCCCAGATCAAAACAACCTAACAAGTGTCAGGGAAGTGTTGAGCCTTCCAGGGAACGAGTTACATCTGGAACAACAGTACTGTGTAATTGGAAACACCACCTGATTAAATTTATGATAATTCATTGCCATTCCCCAAGGTCATTGTAACTCCTGCATGGTTCATACAGGCAAATTAATTGGAGGCTCTTGCATATTTCAATACTTTAATGTAGCACTGAACTTTAAGAATACTGCAGGTGATTCTGATCAAAGCACCTTTGAGAAGGCTGTTTATAGGAATACTCCCTAATACTCCCTAAACAACTGGTCGACCATGGTAACTGCCACTTCTGCCATTATCAAGAACCTGCTTAATTAGATACACTCTAAACCAGCTTCAAGATAATCAAGAATCATGCCACACCACAATATGTACCAACAAAATGCATACCTTGTGCCTGCTTCTTTTTCTCTGTAATTCACTTCTAAATCAAGGGCTTAAGGGTAGGTATTATGATGGTGGGTTCAGGTAACATTTGGACTCAGCGCATTCCATATCCCAGTGCCTGGGATCATTGTTGTATCTGGCTTAGCTTCCAATCCAGCTTCCTGCCAGTGTGCATGGGAGGCAGCTGTTGATGACCAAAGTACTTGGCTTCCTGCCACCCATGTGTGGAAGGTGATTGGATGCAAGGAGTTCTTGTCTCATAGCTTCAGCCTGACCAGGCCCTGATTTGCTTTTGGAAGAATTTGGAGGGGTAAAGGAGCAGCTGGAATCTCTCTTTTGCTCTCTTTCTCCTTCTGTTTGTCACTTTTCCTTTCAAATGAATGGATGAATAAATAAATAAGTAAAAATCAAGGGCTCAAATAAGTACTTCTGATTGGCAGAGAACCCAACTTATATTCAAAATCCTAACTGCAGAAGAATCTGGGAAAGGTTATTTCTAGAATCTGTAAAGTCTTACAGGGAAATATGACTAATATGAGTGTTGGCAAGTCCTTCACTTATATATAATATTGTTAGTTAGCCCTTTACTCCACAAGCTATTCTAAAAATCTCCATTATATTTACAAAAGGACAAGTGTCATTAAAATGATAGAAAGCATAGAAGAAATTTTTATGATAATATTCACAGAATTTCAAACTACATTAGTGATCCTCTGGCCTTTGCTTTGTATGTTGGGGAGATGGTTGTAATTTGTAACACTATGGAAAAGCTCTTACTGATGAAATTTTCTTCTCTTCTCAGCAGTGTTCTCTAATAGAATTTTAGCAACTCAAGAAAAATGTATTTTATTTATGGCATTTATCTTTTTAGGGCATTATATTAAATTTATATCATATAACCTAAGTGTTTGCTATGTTGTCTCCCCAAATTATGATAATGTTTCACTTATTGAGCACTTACTAGGTGTCTGGTACTATTAAGCATTTTTAGCTGTCTAACTTAGCATGTATAACCACTCTATGAAGCGGGTACTATCAAATTACTGTTGTGCAGATACAGAAGCTGAGATTTAAAAGGTTAAGTTGCTGGTTAAACAAATAAGTACAGGAGTTGAGATTTGACTCATAGAATGTTGGGCTCTGCAAATCTAACCCCATCGTTACTATCATCATTTTATTCCCATTTTCTAAAGTCTTTTTATTTTGCTGTGAGCTTTTTCTTTATTTCAAGTTATCTCCTAAGGAATTAAATATTGAGAAATGAGGTATGTACACAGTTAAGGCATCAGTAAGACACCCAAACTTGAGCTTAGGTAAGAAAGCACTCTCTTGGGCCGGCGCTCTGGCACAGTAGGTTAATCTTCCGCCTGCAGTACTGGCATCCCCTATGGGTGCTGGTTCGAGTCCCGGCTGGTCCACTCCCAGTCCAGCTCTCTGCTGTGGCCTGAGAAAGCAGCAGCAAGTCTTAGATGGCCCAAGTCCTTGGGCCTCTGCACCCACGTGGGAGACCAGGAAGAAGCACCTGGCTCCTGGCTTTAGATCAGCGCAGCTCTAGTCATTGTGGCCATTTGGAGAGTGAACCAACGGAAGAAAGACCTTTTTCTCTGTCTCTCCCTCTCACTATCTGTAACTCTAACTCTCAAATAAAATAAACAAAATCTTCTTTAAAAAGAAAGCACTTTCTTACCATTTATAAACGTGAAAGTATTGTAAAAATCTGAAATCTACTAAGTGATATAGGAGAGTTACAAAGGATGTGTATCCCAGCCAGTAACATTATTAAGAAATAATGATAAATACATATCTATGACATTTGATCCGTTTTTACCATTATGTTGACACATTGATTTAAAATGCTATTAGAATTTTTCTGCATGTCCAAATTTATGAGACATTTCTCTTGAACTGTCAGTATCATTAAATTTAAATAAATGTTTATGATTAAAATATGAATTTAAGATTATCTACATGTAAGTGTTCATCCTGAAGGACAGTTCTGGCATCTCAGTTTCACATGACATTATTTATTTATTATTGAAAGCAATGCTTCTTCAGTATGATTTTAAGCAAATATAGAGCAATGACAAAGTATATGACTACTTCTGTGTTTTGAGATCCCCCTTGAAACTTCCATTGTACCATGTATGTTAGAGGGTAGAGTCAGGAAATTTCAGCTGAGTTATAAACTTATAAATGTGAGTAATAATCAAATGGTTACTCTCTTACTTAGTAACTGTGGGATATGGTTCATTCTGTTTCAGTCTCCTTTTAAATTTATTTAACAGTGAAGATTTCTGTTGCCCCCTCATGAAAATTCTCAGTATCACACATTTTTTTGTCATTACACTAAAGCTCCTCTCCCATAGCTTGTGGCAAATAAAAAAATCCTTCCATCTGTCTGTCTCCATTGTGGTGGTAGTGGTATTCAGAGAGTACCAACAACTCCCCTCAAAATCGTCTTCAAACTAATCCTCAATCTTTTATTTCTATTTATCCTATCATCTGTCTATCTATCTATATGTTAAGTGCTTATCCTGTTTTGTTATCTAATTCGTTCATGCATAATTTAGCATATAAAATATGTAATCCTTATAAGAAAGTAAATAAGAGTGAGAAAGAGAGACAGAATTCCCATGTGCTGGTTCACTCCCGAAATTACTGAAACAACTGTAGCTAGGCCAGGCCTAACCCAGGAACCCAGGACTCAATCTGGGTCTAACATGTGAATGGCAGGGATGCTAGTACTCGAGCCATCAACTGTTGCCTACCAGGGTGCATGGAATCAGGATCAGGTTTAGCAGCAGCTAAACCACTAGGCCATATATACACTCCTCTTATCCAAAGTGTTATACTTCAATACTTCAGATAAAGCTTCTATTTTTGTATCTCCCCACATACTTCGAAGTTTAAGTGCTGTAGAAAATCATACTGCGTCTATTGTAAGTTGTCTCTGTAACAACTTTGCTTGAAACTGGCCCAGAGTTATGTTGACACTTTTCCTATTCCTCACAGCATTTAGTTCCATAGTAAAGTCTTAGACTATGCCCATTTTGCCCATTAAATATATTTTGGCTTGACTTGATAGAAAGTAGAGACTTACTGGTTGTTATCTTTAGTTTCAGATGCAGCATTATGTCTCACAGAGTCTGGTAACCCTAGGAAGATGCAGTGTGTTGAGAAAATCTATTATATCTCTGCTTCTATCAGAAGTAAACAACTTTGCTGATGACCTTGGAGCCATTAATCAGGTAATAGAAGCTGAAACTGACTCTCATTTATAGATAATATAGCTATAGGTTTTTCTTTCCTTTCCTTTGTCTTTCTTTTTCTCTTCTTCTTACCAGGCTGGTATTTTACTTATTACCTTATTTCTAATGTATGTGAATGTTGTTATTACCTACTACTGAGAATATGGAAGATACTTTCAGGAAATAGTTTTTAAAATCAAACCATTTTATCATCCTTACTTCTATATATGTGCCATTGGTGACAGCAAAGGAGTGTTTAGATAAATGATCTTAAATCTCTTTAGGAAGGCAGCATGTTTCCAAAGCAAAGAAGTGAAAGAAGAATGAACTAGAGAGAATACTAAATGGAAAATAGCCTCTAACCAGTGGACTTTGTCTGCAATTGCTCACGAGGAAGCCATATCCTCATCAAATAAATGAGGTCTCTGGGTTTGCAGTGCAGGCACTGGTATTGTTAAAACCTTCCATGGGATTCCAGTATGCAACCAAGGTTGAAAACCAATGTTTTCAGTCCTGCTATGCAAATTCTTATATGAGCTTATCAGTGCTGAAACCTGTACAGAGGGATTATAAGACCCTCCCATATTTTAAGGTTGACATTGGCTCATTACATGTGTTTCCTTAGTTTTCATTTAATAGTCTAACCACCTCTGTGATATAATTAAAAACACCTTTAAAGGAAATCAGAGACAGGTAGGTAGAAGTGTCTTAGTAAAGAGAAAGAAATGTAATAGCAATATATATGTGTATATATATATACACACACATATATATATATGTTGTAATTTTACATATCTTTTAATTGGATACTTACATGTAAGTTTTTTACATTTAATGACATATTCTAAAATTACTGTATAGTTTAAATTGAATTCAATAGAGTCCTTCAAAAAGTTCTTAGAAAATGGAATTAAAAGATATGCTTATTTTAGAGCAAAAAAATTTAAACCATGCATCGTTTCCTCATAATATGTATTTTCCGTGAACTTGAAGACCCCTTATATATCATCTAGTCATTGAATATTCAAGTGATTACTGAATGCTAATCTCCCTTAAGAAATTTGAGACACACACACACACACACACACACATATGTATTTAAAGTTGTTGTCACTAATCTTATGAGATATATATAAGCACACTGACTAATTGAAAAAGAACAAAGTGTTAAAATTTGTGGTGCTGCTTGTAGGAGACCCAAGATAAGAAACTGATTATGGTAGGTTGCATATTCCTGAAAAGACTTAGTGGAAAAGGAACAACTTGAAAATTGGATTTGAATTGAACCAGCATAAGATTACAGAATGTAGAAGGATTGCATGATGTGTAACAAGAGTTGTACCAATGATTTTGAGGAAACAATGTGAAGTCTTGACATTTAACAACAGAAAGTGATTTGAGAAATGAGTTTGATTGAATTGTATTATTTTTTGGAGACTAAGTATAGAAAAGCAAATTTTGTTTATATCTTGTCATTTAGTTTTTAAAATAACAATATATTTCACTTTGTGTTTCTATGGGGGTGCAAACTGTTGAAATCTTTACTTAATGCATACTAAACTGATCTTCTGTAAAAAAAAAAAAAAAAAAAAAAAAGAAATTATCAATTCCCAACTTGACTCTCACTGGGATTAAACATGACAATAGGTCTGATCTGATTTCATCATCATTTAAAAAAAATCATATTATTTTTCACTTTATGTTTCTGTGTGGGAGCAAACTGTTGAAATCCTTACTTAATGTATACTAAGCTGATCTTCTGTATATTAAGATAATCGAAAATGAATCTTGATGTGAATGGAAGGGGAGAGGGAGTGGGAAAGGGGAGGGTTGTGGTGGGAGGGACAGTATGGGGGGGAAGCCATTGTAATCCATAAGTCGTACTTTGGAAATTTATATTCATTAAATAAAAGTTAAAAAAAATAACTCTATGAAGTATACTTTTTACCTAGTTTATAAATATTGAAATAAGATTTTAGACTGATAGAGCTGCATGACCAAGATTGCAGAAAGAACATATACTCATCCCATATTTCAAACCTAGATGTTTTGACTGTTATTACCATTAAATACTAAGAAAAATAAGAATAATGACAACATTAACATCAACTAGTTTTTAACATCCATATATGTTAAGTGCTTTGTTTGAATTGTCCCAATCAATTCTTTTTTTTTTTTTTTTTTTTTTTTTTTTTTTTTTTTTTTTTTTGACAGGCAGAGTGGACAGTGAGAGAGAGAGACAGAGAGAGAAAGGTCTTCCTTTGCCGTTGGTTCACCCTCCAATGGCCGCCACTGCAGCCGGCGCACCGCGCTGATCCGATGGCAGGAGCCAGGATCCAGGTGCTTTTCCTGGTCTCCCATGGGGTGCAGGGCCCAAGCACCTGGGCCATCCTCCACTGCACTCCCTGGCCATAGCAGAGAGCTGGCCTGGAAGAGGGGCAACCGGGACAGAATCCGGCGCCCTGACCAGGACTAGAACCCGGTGTGCCGGCGCCGCAAGGTGGAGGATTAACCTATTGAGCCACGGCGCCGGCCTAATTCTTTTAATAACTTTAAGATTTAGTGCTATTTAAAGACAAAAAAAGCTAATAGTAGACAGTAGAATCCACTATAACCAATTTAAGCAGAAATGCATTCCTAGAGAGCTTTGGGAGGATTGAAGAATGAGACTCCAGGCTGTACTTTTCTGAATGTCTCCCATAGTCATATGGCAGAATTAGACTATGAATGGAGTTGCTGTCTTTGCCATCAAGGCTGGGAAACTACCTGCTGAATCAAGAAGTTGCTACTATAGTCTCAGGGTTCAGAAAAACAGTCTTGTCAGGAAGTATAACTGTTGTAGGCTAGGTTAGGCCCAAACTCCTATTTCAGGCTCTTGCTTTTTATTTTTAAGATTTATTTATCATTTATTTGAAAGGCAGAGTTAAAGAGAGGCAGAGGCAAAGAGAAAGTGAGAGGTCTTCCATTTTCTGGTTAGCTACCCATATGGCTGCAATGGCTGGGCTGAGCCGATCTGAAGCCGAGAGCCAGAAGCTTTTTCTGGTTCTCCAATGAGGGTGCAGGTGCCCAAGGACTTGGGCCATCATCTACTGCTTTCCCAGGCCATAGCAGAGAGCTGGATCAGAAGTGGAGCAGCCAAGACTCGATCAATGGAACAGAATAGAAACACCAGAATTCAATGCAAACTTCTACAGCCAACTTATATTTGATCAAGATCCAAAACCAATCCCTGAAGTAAGTAAGGACAGTCTATTCAGTACATGGTGCTGGGAAAACTGGATTTCCAAGAGCTGAAGCATGAAGCAAGACCCCTACCTTTCTACTTACACAAAAATCCACTCAACATGAATTAAAGACCTAATTTACGACCTGACACCATCAAATTATTAGAGAGCATTGCAGAGACCCTGAAAGATATAGGCACTGGCAAAGACTTCTTGGAAGAGATTCCAGAAGCACAGGCGGTCAAAACCAAAATTAACAACTGGGATTGCATCAAATTGAGAAATTTCTGTACTGCAAAAGAAACAGTCAGGAAGGTGAAGAGACAACCAACAGAATGGGAAAAAATATTTGCAAACTATTCAAGTGATAAAGGATTAATAACCAGAATCTACAAAGAGATCAAGAAACTCCACAACATCAAAACAAACAACCCACTTAAGATATGGGCCAAGGACCTCAAAAGACATTTTTCAAAAGAGGAAATCCAAATGGCCAACAGACACATGAAAAAATATTCAGGATCCCTAGCCATCAGGGAAATGCAAATCAAAACCACAATGAGGTTTCACCTCACCCCGGTTAGAATGGCTCACATTCAGAAATCTACCAACAATAGATGCTGGACAGGATGTGGGGAAAAAGGTACACTAACCCACTGTTGGTGGGAATGCAAACTGGTAAAGCCACTGTAGAATTCAGTCTGGAGATTCCTCAGAAACCTGAATATAACCCTACCATACAACCCAGCCATCCCACTCCTTGGAATTTACCCAAAGGAAATAAAATTGGCAAATAAAAGAGCTGTCTGCACCTCAATGTTTATTGCAGCTCAATTCACAGTAGATAATACATGGAATCAACCCAAATGCCCATCAATAGAAGACTGGGTACAGAAATTATGGGACATGTACTCTATAGAATACTATACAGCAGTCAAAAACAATGAAATCCAGTCATTTGCAACAAAATGGAGGAATCTGGAAAACATCATGCTGAGTGAAATAAGCCAGTCCCAAAGGGACAAATATCATATGTTCTTCCTGTTCAGTGACAACTAACTGTGCACATAAAAGTAAAACTGTTGAAGTGAAAGGGACACTATGAGAAACAATGACTTGATCAGCCCTTGTCCTGACTGTTGATGTACAAGTTAATACTTTACGTCCTTTAGTATTTTTTGTTCTACTTAATACTATTGGTTGAAACCTGTAATAAACACACAATTATTCTTAGGTGTTTAAATTTAACTGAAAAGTGATCCCTGTTAAATATAAGAGTAGGAATAAGAGAGGGAGGAGTTGTACAATTTGGGACAAGCTCAAGCTGACTTGCCCCAAATGGTGGCATTAGAAACATGCCTGGGGATTCCAATTGAATCCCATCAAGGTGGCATGTACCAATGCCATCTCACTAGTCCAAGTGATCAATTAAAGTTCACAATTGATCACACTGATAGAACTAAGAGTCAAAGGGATCACATGAACAAGACTAGTGTCTGCTAATACTAACTAATAGGATTAAAAAGCAGAGAACAATCCAACATGGGAAGTGGGTACACAGCAGACTCGTAGAATTGCAGATGTCCTAAACTGCACTCTGGCCTAAGGATTAGCATTAAGGCATTCACGTCTGGCTGAAGTGCTCATGAGAATATCATAGGCATGGAAAGCCAGGACACTCTGGAAAAAAAAAAAAAAACCCTAAATGAAAGGTCTCTGTGAGTGAGATCCCAGTGGAAAGTATAGACCATCAAAGAAGGAAGTACCTTTCTCTGA